GCCATGGAAATGTGAGCTTTAGTGGACTTCCGTTTGGAAATAAGGCTTCATGGTTTGGGATGACCTCATGCTTCTTGGGTTTGCTGCGTTGGCTTTCATCACTAACCATTTGTCGCCCTGTTTCACCTTCAGACACGGCACGTTTTGGCACGTTTTTGATGACACGTTTCGGCAAGTTTTTGACATTTTGGCACGTTATACAGCCTGTGTCACATATACAGCCGGCGCCACCGGGCTGGGTATAATTCGCTGGACGGAGCAATGAAACTTGAGTCTCCCAGCACCCGGTTAACAGCAGTCGGCTTAGTGCCCAAGAAACTGGGTTGCTTCGCCGCGTGCTGCAGCTCTTTCCGGCCAAAGCTGCGGTTTTTGCGCGTACCCCGTGAGACGCTTTGTGCACGGCGGGCATCTTGGGTTATGGCTTGCTGGAGACGTCGAGCGGTCCTTGCAGGCAGTTTCGGATCTCATGCGTGCTGCTTGCCAGAGGCACGCGGTACTGCAGGCTGGTGTGACGCCCATCATGCAGGCAAACGCACGGCAGGTGCCAGACAGCCACGGGTCCCGCCGGCGGCCCAGCACGGTGCCAAACGCATTTCGGCGACCCCTGGCACTGAGCAGAGTGCCAAACACAAAGCGCACCATTGCAAAAACACGGCCAACGGGTCTCTGGCAGTAAATTCTCGCCGGACGTCATAATGCGGCAGTTCGATTTGGACATCAGCCGTCTCCCACATGTTAGGTGAGCTCCGTGCAAACCATGGCCCGGACACGCTTGCTGCTGCCGGGCCCTCACGGCGATACCGGGGAACTTGAGACAATGGCCGTTGCGCCGCTTGGTGGGCGACAGTGTTAGGAACAGCGGCTGTCCCACCATCGCCATGGCTTGCTGGTGCGCCGCGCTTCCCGGAGCAGCTCCTGCTCCGGAAGCGTCTGGTCTTTGGCGTACCAATGCTTCCGCAAACACGTGCAGCAACTGTGGCCACGACCTGCCAGAGACAGCAAACCCAGACACTTGGTGCGACACCTGAGCGTTCCCGCCGTGCGAGGAGATCCGCGCCAGAGTCTGAACTGGACTGGGCAAGCGCGCAGCCAATTCGGTCAAGACCTGCCAAAGACAGCTCACGTAGATGCTTGCGAGAGCTGCGCCTTCCCACCATCCAGGGCGGGTGTGGTCGAGCCCCCCTCCGGAGGGATGTGCCGCACCAGAAGTTGGCCCGACTGGGTGTGCCAATAAAGCCAGTGGGACTCCCAACCAAAAGCGCCGCAAGCGTGACTGAGATTCTTTGCAACGGGCCAAGGCGCAGGTCGTGCGCCGAAGCTTCGAGCCAAACAACTTCAAGTGAGCATATCTAACCAGGACCTGGCTAAGGTCACGCGAGCATGCAGCTCGGCCCTGCGCGTAGCTCAGACTCAACAGCTGGGTCTAGTTTAGCTCGGGTCAAGCGTTACCATCGTCAATGATGTGAGCGCAAGTTCGGTGAAATAGTTCCAAGATGTCCCAAGCTCGAAGTGTAAACGAAGCGTAGACCGTGGCAAACAGGTGACCGGTTTAGACATGCGCTTTTCCTGCTAGGTTTTCAAGCTTCGCTCAGCTATGTTGGCCTGCCGGGCGCCTCCCAACTAGCCTTGGCCTGCGGAGCAGGTAAACTTCCCAGGCAAGCAGGCACGCTAAAACCAAAAAGACGTAGCTCGTATTCGTTAGTGTTGCTGGATAAATGGGGGCGCCCATGGTTTAGTGGGGAGTCATCACCTTTGGGGGGGAACACCCGCATATAAATAAACGCGGGTTGAGCAAGCTGGACGCTACATGGACACCTTGGCGCAATTTCTTGCACCCACAAAGAATTTTCAAGTCCCATATTTCCCTTTCGCTGCAACTTCAAGTCCGCTTCTTCCTTCCTTTCCCTTCATTGCTCCCCTTCGTGTCACCCTGCTGTATTTTCTTGCATTTTCGTGGCTTTTCAATTATTTGCTTTCACTTCCGTTTATGTCCCATTGAATCTCCGGTTTCATGCCATTCGTTTCCCATTTCAGCTTCCTTCAGTCCGCAAGCTCCCTGCACCCCTTGATTCTTGGATATATTCCCTCCGGCAGTTCTCACGTCATATCCCTGCATTTCTACGTTCATGTCGCCTGTCATGTTCCGCGATTTCATCGTCTGTCAGGCTCGAAGTTTTTCTGTTGCGCGCGAGAGCGCAGCTCAAGCAGCGCCTACCTCTTCGACGCAGAGCCGCCTTGCGCATCAAGCCGAGTGAAGCCAGGCAACACGAGCAGATTGAACCAAACGTTGCTTACAAATTCCTGTAGAAAACTTTTCAGGAGGAGGCCGATCCAGTTCCAGAGAGGCCCCCCGCCCCGAGAACATCTGAGCCCGATTTAATGGTTTTCCAATATTTTGAATATTCTAAGTCAATTATTTGAAACCAGGGCCCAGGATTGAAATTGTTTGAATCGTTTAAATCTTGCAGGCCCCAAGTCTAAATCAGGGCACCAGGGTTTAACATGTTAAAAAACATAAAATGAAGCTTCAATTGAGTTTAAGCATGTTGGACATTGTCAGCCAGGACCAGCGGACTTAATATATTTATCACATTTAAGGAGCATTTGGCCTGAAAGTATCCTACATAAGCAGGAAAGCGTCCCGCGGCACATTAACCCCCCCACCCCCGCACCAACGGAAAAACATGGTTGATTAATAGACTGACTTCATTGATTGGTTGATTGACTGGTTGGCTGGTTGGTTGATTATCATGGTTGGTTGATTGATTGATTGGATGATTGATTGGTTGGTTTGATTTGCTTTGATTTGATTTGATTTGATTTGACTTGGTTGATTGGTTGATGACTGATTGACTGATTGATGGATTGATTGATTGATTGACTGATTTATTGACTGATTGATTGATTTGATTGATTGAGTGGTTGAAGTGAGGTTATTCATGGTTCCGGCTATCCGGGGTTTTGCTTTGCATCTAGGGTTTTGCTTTATCAACAAAAATGGGAAAATTTTGAGGGTTACAGCTCTGTGGGGATGACGCAACTGATTCAGAATATCGTGCCAGTCATCCGGAATTGTGATGAACATCCTGGTTTTGCCCAAGCATCCTTCGGGGCCGCGCTGTTCAAGTCAAGTTGCTTCTTCTCGCTGCTGTATTCGGTGTGCGTGCAACCCAGCAATGCGCTGCAGAATTTTAGTCTATGGTTGCTCGCCCTGTCATTCTTATGTCCTTCAAAGGTCAAATTCATGAAAGGCTTTGCCTACAGCAGCCAAAGGTTGAGCACGCCCCCTCCACAAATCGGAAGGGTGCATCGCGTACATCGCGTGATTCGCGTTTGCCTCTTCTGTGGCACTCACGCTCTTCAGTCCCACGTGCAACTTGTTTTTGAACAAACGGTGCTGCAGGATCATGTGTGGATAAAAAGGTATCTATATATGTTGTTGATTTGCGTGCTTTGAACGATTCCCCTTTGTCACCTTATCACCCCCGCGATCCCTTGCGCAAATTGGCCAGGCGGGACCGCTGGCGTCAAACTTGCGAGATTGCCATGTTACCGTGTTCTTATACAGGGGTGTGAACGCTCACAGCGATTGTTGGCCGATTTTCTGGGGAAATTGTTCTTCAGGAGCTGCCAGAGAGAATTCACTTGTGGAGCTTCTTGTGCGATGGCTTGCAAGGGTTGGCGGGCTCTAGTTTGCAGAATTTCCCTTGCACATACTTGCAGTGCTTTTGGGGCCTAATTTGCAAAATTTGCTACAGATTAGCTTGTGGAGATGATTGGGCGGTAGCTTGCGGAATTTCGGTCATCTGTGAACTTGCAAGGTTGTCGGCATCTCTGGCAGGGAGTGTTGGGGTCCAGCTTGCACAGAGTCCTTGGAGCATGCAGGTTTGACTCTGGCTTCTGCCATGTCCCAAGCTGGTTTGAAGAGATTCTTGCATGCTCTTCCCCACGGAATCTCTTGCGCTTTAGCTTGCAGGGGTTGTTGGGTTCTGGCTTGCAGAATTTCCTTCGCGGAAGCTTCTAGGGATTGTTGAATTTCAGTTTGCGGATTATTCGCTCGCAAGCTTGCAGGCGTTGTTGCATGGTGTTTGGCTTGGGCAATTTTTATCGGGGTGGCTGGCCAGGAGTGGTTGAGTTTTGGCTCGCTTGGCTTGCCGCGCTTGCAGCTTTGCGCAGCTTTCTGTGTGTGAGCCTGCCTGCGCTGCGCAGGGGTTGCTTGGGAGTCTAGCTTGTGGAACAACAGCTAATGCCCTGCCAGCTCACGAAGATTTCTGCAGCTAGATCCCAACAATCCCTGTAGCAACGCGCTAAAAAGTCCGTAGGCTAGTGGGAAATGCCTGCAAACTTGCACCCGGAATTCAACAATGTCGGCAAGCTCACGCTGTTGGTTGGTTGGTTGGTGGGTTGGCTGTTGGATTGATTGATTGATTTGATTGATTGATTGATTGATTGATTGATTGATTGATTGATTGATTGATTGATTGATTGATTTGATTGATTGATTGATTGATTGATTGATTGATTGATTGATTGATTGATTGATTGATTGATTGATTGATTGGATTGATTGATTGATTGATTGGTTGGTTGATTGATTGATTGATTGGTTGGTAGATTCATTGATTGGTTGGTTGGCGCCCCTGCCCTCCCCCATCCCCACGCCCTTCGCTCCTACGTTAGATTGATTGCCGCACCACTGTAATCACCCGAAGTACTTACTGGGTCAAAGATGCGCTGAGTGTTGGGCCACGCCAGACCTGACACACCGCCGGCCAGATTGACTGCGCGCAGTCTTTGTCGGGCCACTCTAGATGTCCGCGCATCCAGCCCCGAAGTATTGCGCCTGCCGTGAAATTCCAGCTTCAGCGTGCTGTGCGAGGGAAGAAGGAAGGGAAGGCGACGCGCGGACGACGAGACTATACAAGCAAGAGCCCGCAAAAAACCTTCGGGGGAAGTTTGCGCAAGCGATCTGACAAGTTTCGGGGGGTTCTGGCAGCCAGGCGCTTGAACATCGTTTCCACCAGCACAGTAATCAAAACCCTCACAGAGAAGCCGGGCGCTCGGAGACTTGAGGCCCGAACAAAAGCGCTTCGCTTGACGCGGGGACTTGGACGGTTTTGCGCCGCCTTGTTTGTTTCAGAAGGCAGCAAGGCGCCTGCGTCTCCTTTTAGGGGTTAAGTTTCCACGATGCCCAGGGCTTTGCGGCGGGGGGGGGGGAACCTGAGTCGCGTAAGCAGATCCTTTCAAAGGGGGGGGAAGTCCTAAAGCTGTTGAGCCCCCCTGGCCCGCCCCCGCGCCTCGCACGAGCATATTCCGATAATTCTCTGCCATATGTTTGCAATTAGGGAATCTTTCTCAAGATCCAAGTTTGGGTCTTACTGACTTTTTGGATGTTAATCTAAGCCCTGAGTCGTAGATGTTGTTGTTGGGCTGGCTGCCTGCCTCTCAAGTCCAGGGCAAGCGCACTGTTAAAGTGCCAAGTGCAATATTAGAAAAATGCGTCCAACGCGTCCACTTAATGACTTGTATTTGTCTCGCACCAAATCCCACATAGTGCTGGAGCCCGAACAGAAAATGGGACCGGAACAGAGTCCGTTTTTTCCCAGAAGCGTTGCGACGGGTTCTTCTTCTAAAAGCGGCTGCGAACTTCACCTGCCAACTTCTCGTGCCAACTTGCCGGGGAGTTATTTCACCTGCCAACTTCTCATGCCAACTTCTCGAGAGTTACTTCACCTGTCAACTTGTCATGCCAACTTTTCGAGAGTTACTTCACCTGCCGACATCTCATGGCAATTTTTTTGAGAGTCATTTCACCTGCTAACTTCTCGCGCCTACTTCTCGAGAGTTACTTCACCTGTCAACTTATCATGCCAACTTTTCGAGAGTTACTTCACCTGCCGACATCTCATGGCAATTTTTTTGAGAGTCATTTCACCTGCTAACTTCTCATGTCATCTTCACCTGCCAGCTTCGCCTGCCAACTTCTCATGCCAACTTTTCGATTGCTACTTCACCAGCCAACTTCTCATGTCAACTTTTCAGGTGTTATCTCATTATTCTAAAAGCACAGGCTAACTTGTCGGGTGTTACCGCACTATCCTAAAAACACAAGCTAGCTTTGCTTTTGTGCCTTCACTTCTCGGCTTTGGCGCGGGTAGGCCAACGTACCCCTTTGCCTCTACGGAGATTGTGTGTGTCGAAGCGCTCTCGCTGTGGCGCCGTGCGATTTGTCTTGACCGCGGCGAACCCTCTGCAGAGATCGTGCGTGTCGAAGTGCTCCCGCTGTGGCGCCGTGCGTATTTGTCTTGACCTCGGCGAACCCTCTGCGGAGTTCGTGCGTGTCGAAGCGCTCTCGCTGTGGCGCCGTGCTAGTTTTCTTGCTTTCGCTGCTCGCGAATGCTCTTCGAAAGTTTTCTCGTGGTTTGCGCGTCTGCCTGCGCAATCGCGGCGTCGCAGGGTTCCACATTCCCGTGGCTCTGGCTCACGGATACTATTTTCCGTACAAAAGTCGTGTGCGAAAAACATTCCCGCAGTTCTGGCTGCAAAGTCGAAACTTTCGAGTGCAAAAGTAGTACACGAAGCCCACTCTTGCAGCTCCGGCTGAAAGCTTGCAAGTTTAAAGTGCAAAAGTAGTACGCGAAGAGCACTCCCAAAAGCTGCTAAATGCAATCGTCATTGGCTCAAAATTCAGAAGTTTCAAGTACAAAAGTAGTACCCGAAGTGCATTCCCATGGCTCTGGCTCAAGAATAGCAATTCTCAAGTACAAAAATATAGTGCGGAAACTGTGCTGCCGCAGTTCTGGCTGCAAAATCATAAGTTTTGGGTACAAAAGTAGCGCAATGCATTCACGCAGCTCCGGATCGCAAATGGTAACTTTTTTGAGTACAAAAGTAGTACGCAAAGTGCACTCCCATTGCTCTGGCTCAAGAATCGCAACTTTTAAGTGCAAAAGTAGTTTGCGAGTGCAATCCCGCATCCGGCTGAAACACCTGTAAGCTTCTGCGCCCAAAGGTCGTGCGCGAAGTGCGCCCTCGCAAGCCCCAGCTCGAAACTCACAGTTTTGCAGCGCAGAAGTAAAGTAATGTTCAGAGAGTGCCCTCCATCATGTCTAGCTCGCAAATTGCAACTGTAAAGCGCAACAGAAACACCCAGTTGCACTTGCGCATCTCTTGCTTCAAGAATCTTAACTTACGCACGCAAAAGTATTGTGCGAAGTACACTTCCGTAGCTAAGACAGCCAGCCTTCTTGCGCAGCCAAACTGCGCACTAATTTGGACAAGAGAGGTTGACGAAAGAAACTGGCACAAAGAGTGGACAAGAGGTGTCGTAGAGCATCATGGGTAACATCACGCACAGCGTCACGCGCAGCATGATTTGCAACATCATGCGCAGCACCACGCACGGCACCACGCACAACTTCACACACACACACGCAGCATCAACTCACAACATCGCGCAACAGAAGCTGGCACGAGAAATTGCGAAGCATGATGCTAAGCTTGCTCATCAGAACTTGCAGAGGCTAGGCTTGAGCAGGGACATTGGACGTGTTTGTTTCTCATGAGGTGGGGAGAGGCGTCAGGGTTGATTTAACGTGTTGCTTCGCTTCCGGGCACCCGTCGTCTAGTTTAATTCTGGTTCCCCGGCATTGTTTAAGTGGACCACAATAGAGTCCACCTTTTTCCCCCTCACAGGAATTCCCATCATATCAAAACCAGGTTTGTGCCATGCCAAATTCTGCTTGCGCTTGCAAAAAAACATCAAGTAATGGCCCTTGCAGTTCCTAGGACTGGCTGCAGCTCCTTCTCAACAAGAAGTGGTTGCGAGACTAACGTAGTATTCCAAAAAACACGCTCAGCAAGAAGTGGTTGCGAGACTAAAGTTGTGTTCCAAGCTCGGCAAGAAGTGTTTGCTGACTAAAGTACTGCTCAGCAACAGGCGGTTGCAAGACTGAAGTAGTTTTCAAAAACGTCTGCTCAGCAAGACGCGGTTGCAAGACTGAAGTAAAATTCCAAAATGCCTGCTCTGCAAGAAGTGGTTACAAAACGAAAGTAGTATTCCAGCAAATGCTCAGCAAGAAGCGGCTACAAGGCTAAACTAGTTTCCAAATCACACTGCTTGCAAGACTAAAGTAGCATTCCAGAAGCAAGCTCAGGAAGAAGCGGTTGCACGACTAAAGTAGCAATGGGCCTCCCATTTTTTGGGGCCATTATTCTGGCGTGTCCATTGTTCAGGGGAAGGGGGGAGAGGTAGGCCCCCGTTTATTAATCAAGTGCCACGTCTAGACAGAGCAATTCTACATCAAATCTGGCTGAACTACGGCCCCCGATAGAACCAACACGCAACGAACCCTAGCCGTCGAAGCCGGCGCAGTCCGAAAAATCACGAGGCGGAGGTTTTCATTTTGGGAGTTGTATATATAAAGGGGAAGGGATGAATGTAGGCGTGTGGATGTTGGGTGCGTGACAGCTTTCCTTGACACTATGGCTTGGCATTTCTGCTGCCGGTGCCATCGCAAACTGTTGCGCAGAGCCCGTGCTCGCCGACACAAAGTTGTGGGGGCGTTGTTTCCCGCAATGAGCATTCTGCGCTGCGTGGAGTTCAAACCCGGCTTCTGCCTCGGCAGGTAAAAGAGGTGGGAATGTACATTTCAATGATTCCGACCAGGTTGTCGCTAACATGTGTGCGCACACACACACACGTACGCACAAATGTATGTGCCGTACAGACTGAGCCGTACTATGAAGCTGACGTCGGCATCCCTGACATCCTTGGCCAGCTCTGTGGAAGCTCATACCTGTCGAAGTTAGTTTTTACAAGTCATAGTGAAAGCAGCTTCCTGGTAGTTTTTAAGCGGTTGGCGTGTCTTCCCAATGTTTGGTGCCCAACAACATGCCAATCTCTCCTTTAGGTGGCTGCGGGGCCTTGATCTTCTGCGTTTCTCGCAGCAGCGAAGACTTCAGGCAGATCTTGTTGCCACTTGGTGAACAATGGGCCATCCATTTCAGGGCTGCACAGGACTTGCTGGAAACCGGTTCCCCAAAACTCAGTAGTTTGGCTGCTCACCTCCATTTTGGGCCTTGTCACGTTGTGGCTGTTCAGCGCCATTCCCAGAATACTTTACGTGCCAATAGCCAGCTCCTGCTAAAGCTTGTGTCGGCAGGGCGGTCGAACACATGCTCGGCAAGTATAACAACGCGACTGCCTGCATCTCGTTGGGTAGGCCCTCGTCAAGTTTCGGGGATTCCGGCTACGTGTTGCAAACTTTCAAGGTACTGTCGGGCATGTGTGTAAGCTACATGCGTGCAACTGCTGACATCTTGCAAAGGCAGATGACAAAAGCGCGCTCTGCCAACATTGCTGGCCCTGCAGCTTCCTACAGCGATTTTGCGCTGCGGCGTTCTTTGGCGCAGCTGGGCTCACACACAGCGCTCAGCGGATAGCATTTGTTTGTCTTCTTCCTCCTGTCCTTCTTCGCTAGTAAGCTGCTCGTGAGGCCGGCGCTGAACCCACCAGGCTTTTGGCGATGGGTCTTCTTTCTACATGCGCCCATGGAAACTGTGAGAACGGTGACATGGCACTCTGAGGGTTATTGGTCAGCTTACGAGGGTGCTAGTTCTTCAAAGTCTTGCCTAAGCGGCTCTGTAAACTTTCAAGTGTACACTGGACACCCCGAAAGCCGATTGGGGCCTCAAGTGTTGCTGCGTTTGGCGTATTTGCACAGTAAGTAATATTGTCCGTCTCGCGCGCGTCGTGTAATTGTGGGCGATTTGCATTTGAGTTAACACCCATAGCTCGACGCAACCGGGATTTTTTAGAGTCAATGCCTCAGGCCACTGGCATTTTGAGGCAAAACTCAAAATGCTGAGAAGGCAAGCTCGACAAAAACCAGGCTGGGGAGAGGGAGGGAAGGAAAGAAAAGAAGAGAGACCCATATGTCCATCTCCTATTGCTCATTTGCCGGGCGTTCAACGCCAAAATCTAACATTCGGCTTGCCTCATTTCCTCCATCATCTTCATGTTTCTGTTTGGACGAAAAGGAGGGATGGCTTATAATCCCCGGCCCATTTTTTATTCCCATAAGCCAAACCAATAGATTCTAGAACCGATAGAGTAGATATTGCGTCAGGGTCCTTATGCCACTGCTGTCTCCTCAAGTGAAGGCATTGGCTTGAAGGGAATGGAAGAGTAAACGGAACCACTCAGCTTACCACATGCTTCTCTCTAGTTGGTTTCCTCCCCGACGAAGCCTACCAGTTGGCGCGGTGTCCCTCCCTTCATGCTCATGTTTTCGCTCCAGCATGAAGGCAAGTCAGACAGAGAGGGAAGGAGATGGTACTGGACAAAAACATCGGCAAACCGCACTAGAACAAACAATCAAGTTACAACTGCGAACCGCCCTCCACCCACAAGCAACTTGGGCGCATTCGTAAAGCAAACTGCACATTGGCCCTCAGCCAGCTTTTCGTGGAATTTCGAAGCACACAGTTGGCTAGGGTCTCTGCATTTGCCAGCACCTTCTTTTCTTTTGCGGCCCTACTCTGCCTGACATTTGGCCAGAAGCCTGTCTCCTCACCTGGTTGCTGATCTGGCTTCCAGTTCCAGCCTTCTGTCACCTCCCAGACGTCAGGAAAGCACCCTCCTGGCTCGCGCTGCCGAACTGGTAAGTCTACGCCTGCCTCGCTCGCCACCTTGGCAGGTTTGCTTTTGCTGTGCTCTGACCTTTATTTGCCCTGCCGTTGTTCGCAGGCGCTGTTGGCAGGTTCGGACCCTCAGTCCTGTCACTAGCTGCGCTTGGCACGTCTTTCTTTGCTTGGCATTCTGGTTCAAGCTCTTCACCCTCTTCACTCTCTTCACTCTCTCTCTCTCTCTCTTTCTCTCTCTCTCTCTCTCTTTGTATCTTTTCTCTTTCTCTCTTTCTATCTCTCTCTCTCTCTCTCTCTCTCTCTCTCTTTCACTCTTTCGCTCTTGCACTCTCGCGCTCTTTCGCGCTCTCTCTCGCTCTCTCGCCCTCCTCGCGCTCTTTCTCTCTGCGTCTCTCTCTCTCTCTTTCTCTCCCTCTCTCTTTCTCTGCCTGTCTCTCTCTCTCTCTTTTCTCTTTTTCTCGCACTCTCTATCTCTCTCGCTCTTTCTCGCTCTCTTTCACTTTCTCTCTCTCTCTCGCATTCTCTCGCGTATTCTCTCGTTCTCTACTCTCTCTCTCTCTCTCTCTTTCTGTCTCTTTCTTTCTTCTCTCTTTCTTCTCTCGCTCTCTCTCTCTTCTTTCTTTTTTTATCCTTCTCCCTTTCTCTCTTTCTCTCTTTCTCTCTTTCTCTCTTTCTCTCTTTCTCTCTTTCTCTCTTTCTCTCTTTCTATCTTTCTCTCTTTCTCTCTTTCTCTGTTTCCATCTTCATCTCTTTCACTCTTTCTATCTTTCTCTCTTTCTCTCTTTCTCTCTTTCTCTCTTTCTCTCTTTCTCTCTCTATCTCTCTATCT